GAGTCTTAGAACTTTTAGTAAGTAATCTAGCTAGGTATGTGTTAGATTATGATTTCTTTAAATGGCTGAGAAAAGAATTGTGCTGAATAGAATAATTATTTCTGTCTGTGTATCTTTTTTGTAACTTAAGGTTTTGCCTAGAGGGATTCTCTATGTTTTGAATCTAATTACCCTGTAAGGTATCTACCATCCTGATTTTACAGAGGGGATTTCTTTACTTCTATTTACTCCTATTTCTATTAAAAGTCTTCTTGTAAGAAAACTGAATGCTTTTTCATTGTTCTCAGATCCAAGGGTTTGGGTCTGTGGTCACCTATGCAAATTGTTGAGGCTTTTTACCAAACCTTGTCCAGGAAGTGGGGTGTAAGGTTTTGGGAAGTATTTGGGGGGAAAGACGTTTCCAAATAGCTCTTCCCCAGTAACCAGTATTTGTTTGGTGGTGGTAGCGGCCAATCCAAGGGCAAAGGGTGGAATATTTTGTACCTTGGGGAAGTTTTGACCTAAGCTGGTAAAGATAAGCTTAGGAGGTTTTCATGCAGGTCCCCACATCTGTACCCTAGCATTCAGAATGGGGAAGGAACCTTGACAACCTCAGTCCAAGTGTATACATTTTTAATATATAAGGCAACACTTCCTCCCTTTGTATGTCTCTGTAATTGGATGGCCCATCAACCATGACTGAAGCCTTAGAACTTTAGATGAGATGGGTGTTAACTTCAAAGGATGGGTCATTGTGTAGGACAAGGGGAGATCTGCAAACTTGGTCTGTGTTGAGTCAACAAAACGAGAGCCTATGCTGTGCTAGGAACACCTGCCAAACTATTTTAGGCTTATCTTCTGTGGGAAGGATCTATAAAATACTGGATTCTGGAAATGATCCTTTAGCTCTCTGATCTATTTTGATGCTGTCAGAGGGCATCCCAGATACAGAGCAGAGGTCCCCAAAGCCATTTTGGGCAGTCCTGAGACATTTATGGAGAACTAAGCAGAAACCCATCTCTGTTATCTTTATGGACTTACAAACTTTGACTCACCTGTTATTGAAAGGTTAAAAGCAGGTAATATACATAACTCTCATTTCTTTTTCTTAGCTAATAAATCTTTAGTTTACTAAAGAAATTGGTTATCAGTGTTGTTTTTGGTGTGTGATCCAAAGCATCCACTGACCTGGTGTAAGTGATCAATCCTTTGGGGTTGGAAGAACCTAATGTGTGGTGATTTCAATTTTAATAACCTTTCATCATAAAGTCCAGTTTGTGTGGGTGGCAAAAAGGGGCTGGAGAGCTTAAGGGGATTGTCTCTGGCTCCATGGTTAGACTAATACATAGTCTAGGAGTGCCCGTTTATTACTGGTTTGATGAAATCTAATTACAGAATATACCACCAGTTTGGGGTGTCCGCCCTCTTTTCTGACAGTCTGACCTGAGATTGGCTGTCTCAGTTGCAGTCACATACCAGGTACTATGACACTTGTCATCTGTGATTAATGTATTCTTGGTCTCAAAATTTCCACTGTTGTTTCTTTTGTGGTCTCTTTCTTGTTCAATACAGTCCTGTTCTGTTAAACCAGTTGAGACTCCTGGTATTTTGGTATGGAATCTCCTAACAAAGTGTAGCTCTGCTGGGTTTTTCCCAATGATTGTATAGGATGCATGATGAGATGCCAAAAAATGTGAGCATTCATTTTTTGGATCCTTTTCTAAGCACTATTCTAAGTACTTTGCAAAGTGTTCTATTTTGACACCCATCCCATTGGCTTGAGACAAATGAGGTGTCACACCATGCAAAATACTATTATCCAGTAACAAATACCAAAATTCCTTGGACAAAAATTAAGAATCATTATCACTGAAAAAGAGTTTAGATATCCCATATCTTTCCACTATGTTCTCAAAGCTATTAAGAATGGTGATGGTTGTAGCCTTTTCACTATGGACACTTCCTGCTCCTGACAAGTATCAGGGGATAGCCATGTTAGTCTGTATCCACAAACCAACAAGAAGTCCGGTGGCACCTTAAAGTCCCTCTGCCATGTATATTGGCCAAACCGGACAGTCCCTACGTAAAAGAATAAATGGACACAAATCGGACATCAGGAATGGTAACATACAAAAGCCAGTAGGAGAACGCTTCAATCTTCCTGGACATTCTATAACAGATTTGAACGTATATGTCATAAATAAAACGGGAAGGGTAAACACCTTTAAATCCCTCCTGGCCAGAGGAAAACCCTTTCACCTGTAAAGAGTTAAGAAGCTAAGATAATCTCGCTGGCACCTGACCAAAATGACCAAAGCTGGAGTGGGGGGGAAACAAAGGATCTCTCTCTGTCTGTGTGATGCTTTTGGCGGAACCAGAGCAGGAATGCAAGTCAGAACTCCTGTAAAGAGTTAATAAGCAATCTAGTTAGATATGAGTTAGATTCTGTTTTGTTTAAATGGCTGATAAAATAAGTTGTGCTGAATGGAATGTATATTCCTGTTTTTGTGTCTTTTTGTAACTTAAGGTTTAGCCTAGAGGGATTCTCTGTGTGTTGAATCTGATTACCCTGTAACGTATTTACCATCCTGATTTTACAGAGGTGATTCTTTTACTTTTTCTTTAGTTAAAATTCTCTTTTAAGAACCTGATTGCTTTTTCATTGTTCTTAAGATCCAAGGGTTTGAGTCTGTGTTCACCTATGCAAATTGGTGAGGATTTTTATCAAGCCTTCCCCAGGAAAGGGGGTGTAGTGCTTGGGGGGATATTTTGGGGAGGGAGACGTTTCCAAGTGGGTGCTTCCCCTGTTCTTTGTGTAACACTTTGGTGGTGGCAGCTTTTAACCTAAGCTTGTAAGAATAAGCTTAGGGGGTCTTTCATGCAGGTCCCCACATGTGTACCCTAGAGTTCAGAGTGGGGAAGGAACCTTGACAGTATACTTGAACAAAAAAACTTCAGAAACAGACTTCAAAGAGAAACAGCAGAACTAAAATTCATTTGCAAATTTAACACCATTAATTTGGGCTTGAATAGGGACTGGGAGTGACTGGCTCATTACAAAAGCAGCTTTACCTCTCCTGGAATGGACACCTCCTCATCTATTATTGGCCCTGATCGAACTGGCCCTGTCAACACTGGTTCTCCACTTGTGAGGTAACTCCCTTCTCTTTATATGTCAGTATATTTATGTCTGCATCTGTAATTTTCACTCCATGCATCTGAAGAAGTGGGGTTTTTACCCATGAAAGCTTATGCTCAAATAAATCTATTAGTCTTTAAGGTGCCACTGGACTCCTTGTTGTTCCTGCCACTGTGAACAATAATCAACAAGAACCAACAAATGGCCCACCATGGCAACAGGGTATTAATGATATTTGTGTACTGGATATAAGTTTTGCCTTGGCCAAAGGCCCAATAATTGACAGGATGGACATGCAGCAGATGTGGGTTCTGCTTGTGTGTCTACACTTGGCCATCAACATTCTCCAGTGTGGTTTCATCCACACAACACTGGTAGCTCTTCATGTGCTAATTTTCAATGTCTGTTTGCAAAGCTCTTTGGGCACCAGTATACAAGTTCACTTTAATGACTCCTTAATGTGTCTAAGGTGGATAATGTCTGGATCTCTTTCAGAAGCTGCCTCTACCCCTTAAGGAGGAAAAATGTGGGGAACAACAGCGTAAATTATAAAATAGACATATTCTGCTGCCGGATTACAAATTTTATTTGCTCTAGAGGGGATAGCCTTGATAATGCATCAGCTGCACTGATGCATATACTCTGTTGGGATAAAATTTTGAATCAATATTGCAACAGCCTTAATTCCCATCTGTGACTTCTGGCAAAGGATTTTGATTTTGGTGGATATATAATCTTGAGTGGTTTACTATCTGTAATAAAACCAAATGCAGTCTCAAAGTGTCATTTTTGTCCACATACCCAAACAACGGCTAAAACCTTTTTCTCTGTTTGGGAGTGTCAGCACTCTGAATTTGAAAGTACCTTGCTTGTATAATATACAGCCTTTTAAGTCCTCCTGATCTTGGCCCAGTATAGCCCCTGAACCTACTGAACTTTCACTTTACTTTTGGCTGCAGGATTATTATATGCTAGCATGAGGGCACTGGTAAACTACGTATTTATCTCATGAAAGGCTGATAAACTTCTCTGTTGTCCAAATGCATGCTATTCTCTTGTAGGTCAATCAAGGGCAGGTCTACACTACAGGGTTAAGTCGACCTAAGTTACGCAACTCCAGCTACGTGAATAACATAGCTGGAGTCAACGTACCATAGGTCGACTTATTGCAGTGTCTACACCATGCTGGATAGATGGGAGAAACTCTCCCTTCGACTTATCTTATGTTTCTCGTTCCTGTTGAGTATCGTAATCGATGGGAGAGCGATCACCAGTCAATTTAGTGGGTCTTCATTAGACCTGCTAAATCAATCCCCGGTGGATCGATCGCCACAGCATCAATCCACGGTAAATGGAGACAAGCCCTGAATCAGGAATGGGCAACTGGTGGCCCGGGGACCACATCCAGCTTTCCAGCTTATATTTTACCTACCAACCAGGGCATAAAATCCTCTCCCTCATTCAGTGCACTGAAGAATAGAACTGCTCTGGGGATGAATCAGGGTCGTGTAGTAAAGGACGCTTTGTCTATAGGACCCTTCCTCATTTGTATCAGGAGTTAGAAGGTCTGTAGTGAATGAGACAAGGAACTGCAGGAAGAGAAAGGACAGTCTCATGGTTAAGGTAGTTGAATGCTGCCCTGGAGAATTGGATTCTATCCTTGCCTCTGCCACAAAGTTCCTATGTGACTCTGGGCAAGTCACTTAAACCAAACTTTTCACAGGTGGCCACTAACTGTGTGTTCCTCATTTTCAGGGTGCCCAGCTTGATATCCTGAGGTCTGATCTGCAGATGTGCTGAGCATTCAGAGCTACAACTGAAGTAGTGGGAGCTGTGCTTTGAACATATAAAGGTCTGTATAATGATAAGTCCTCTGAAGAATCAGGTCCTGGTCATCTCAAATTGGACTTCCAAAATTAGTGGAAACTTTTGGCTTAATCACTCTGTGCCTCAGTTTCCTATCTGTAAAATAGGGATTATGCCATCCCTTCAATTCACACAGTTGTTGTGAAAATAATTTAATGTGTGAAGCACTTTGATACTACAATGATAAGTGCATGAGAAAAACCCATGAAGAAATGAATGATTCTGTCATCAGAAGAGGGTTTAATATTGTTAAGTAAATAAGGCCAGGGACCACACATTAAAAAATTAAGAGAAAACAAAATATTGAATAGCTGCTGTGACAAAGTTCCTCCTCTGCCTTGGTGGGTCCTGCGCTTATTGGCAGATTTTCTCACCTCAGAGGTTCATGGCAGTCCTCAGTTTGGCCACTTTCATGGCTCAAATCTGCCGTTCACTCAGTTAGCCTCATCACTGGCCAGCATGGGGAAAAGGAAGAAGAACAATCCCCGCAGTCTCTGCTGATCCACCTAGTGGATCAGGGAACAGGCCAGAAACCTTCCCCTCTGGTGGAACCCACAGTCCAGGTCAATTCCTCCGGTATCAAGTAGGGAGATGGAGGAATGGGGGGAACCCGGGCCCACCCTCTACTCCGAGTTCCAGCCCAGGGCCCTGTGGATTGCAGCTGTCTATGGCGACTCCTGTAACAGCTGCATGACAGCTACAATTCCCTGGGTTACTCCCTCATGGTCTCCTCCCAACATCTTCTTTATTCTCACTGCAGGACCTTCCTCCTGATGTCTGATAAAGCTTGTACTTCTCAGTCTTCTAGTAGTACGCCTGCTCACTCTCAGCTTCTTGCACCTCTTGCTCCCAGCTCCCCACACACACACCACAAACTGAAGTGAGCTCCTTTTTAAACCTACGTGCCCTGATCACCCTGCCTGTCTTAATTGATTCTGGCAGCTTCTTGATTGGCTGCAGGTGTTCTAATGAGCCTGTCTGCCTTAATTGTTTCCAGAAAGTTCCTGATTGTTCTGGAACCTTCCCTGTTACCTTACCCAGGGAAAAGGGACCTACTTAACCTGGGGCTAATATATCTGCCTTCTCCTGTAGCCATCTGGCCTGACCCTGTCACACTGCTCATTAAGTGAGTACTGTCCATCCTGTGCAGTGAATGAGGCAGGGGCCCTGTGGGAAAAATAGGATGTGATCATGTAATTAAAGACAGTATCATAATGCATATGGACAAGGGGGGATGAATTCAGGTAGCACAGGCCATCTTAATTATGGCATTTCTTAACTTTGGAGTGGTCAACTTTGCAACCTTAATGTTTTTGTGCATGATTTCTAAAAATATATCCTGAAGCCTTTCACTATTAATCTCTTTCTACATCTCTGTTTTCTATCCATTGATCGTGAGGGAAGTGACAATGTCATGATTAAAATCTCGTTATTTATTTGTTTTAATAGTTGTTTATTTACTATCCAACTTTTTCAGTTAATCCGCTTAGGTTAGAGAAGTGTGGCTTCCCCTTTGTAAACGCCATCTTGCTTTGACTCCATCAGGTTAAACCGCTTTTATTATTTTGCATGTAAATGATCATGAATGAAGACTAGTGTCAGACATATTTTTTTAACGTTGATAATAACGAATACGTGAACATTTAAAAATCATGGGCATGATTCTTCTTTACATTAAGGCTATTTTTTATGCTCTAGTGTAATAAGGGATCCAAAAGGGAGGATAAATCTAACTTTAAGGCCCTTTACAGCACAAAAACAGTATAAAGAGCACTTAATATAAAGGAGAAATCAGACCTTTTGTCATTTGCAAAAGCCCTATCCGAGGCATTTACAAAGTTTTCAGAAAGCTACAACAAGGAGTCCTACATCAAATGTTTGAAAGAGCAGGAAATAGTATGAGGGGTCTCATAGCATTGTAAACTAGGAAGGCTTTATTGACTTATCTTCCAACTAATTTGAACCTATGGATAAGCATTGCTGCTCAGTAACATTGGTTCCTGCAATAGCAATCCTCTGTCTTTTCACAGTCTCACTGCCACAACTGTATATAGCATTTTAAAGCAAATATTACAAATAAAACTTGTCAAATAATGATATTGGAGATGCATGAGTGAATCCTTAGATTAGTAAAATATAGTAAATATTATATTATAATACAGTGGGACTCGGCTCAAAAAGAAACTTTCTCCCAGGGTGCATTGGCATAGTATCTAAGGTTTGTTGTCTTCCTAGGAATTATGATTTAGGAGCAGGTGGACATATCTCATATCATCATTGTCCTGTGATTTGAGGGGTAGGAAAGAGCATTCTTGGAACATAGACCTCGTAATATTCAGTCTATGAGAACTGTTGTGTGTATAAAACAAACAGAAATGCAGACACATGCAATAAAGAGACACAAAGACAATCCTGCGTGCAGCAAGGGGCAACGTGTATTTCAAAATTCCTCCCCGTCATTTTCTTCTCCAAATGAGTTTGTTCCCACTTCGTCATAGTCCTTCTCCAGTGCAGACAAGTCCTCTCGGGCCTCTACAAACTCCCCTTCCTCCATGCCTTCACCAACATACCAGTGCACAAATGCCCTCTTGGCATACATCAGATCAAACTTGTGGTCCAACCTTGCCCAGGCCTCAGCGATGGCTGTGGTGTTGCTTAGCATGCAGACAGCACGTTCCACTTGGGCCAGGTCTCCTCCGGGTGTTATTGTGGGAGGCTGGTAATTGATTCCAACCTGGTAATAAGAACAAGAAAGATGCACGAAAAAGTGAGGGAGAAAAGAAGGATCCAGAGAGACAACAAAAGTCAAATAAATATGGTGGAAAAGTTGGAGTAGCCTAAGATGTGGTTGGCAAGAGAGGGGTTAGGGGGCTGAAGCCACAGTATTAAATTACCATAATGGCAAAGGTCATCCATGTTGCCCTTTTTGGACTATTCATTTCTCAGTGATAACCCATGAGAAAACAAGGGAGAGCAACCAAAACTGGACATGAGATCAGGGAGCACAGAGACATTGTTATCATCACTACAATCATCTTTATCTTTTTCCTTTTAATGAACACCAGCATCTTACTTCCTTTTTTTAACTGCTGCTGTTGCTTACTGAACTCACAGCTATTCCGTATGAACTAATACAGTAATTATTTTCCATCTACAAATCTTCAAATTTAAAGCCCATTAATACGTATGAGAAAAATAGATAATTTTTTCCATCTATTGCTTTTGACAGCTTTGCTCTGGAAATCAGGCCGGTCAGTGCTGCTACATAGGCAGTAAGGGGAGCATAGAATGTGTGGAGAATTATGTGAAACTGAAGGCTCTTTTAAAAAAAAGAATTTTCACAGAGAAATGCTCCTAATGTTTAATTTACCAGAATTTATTCTCGTTTTTAACAAAATATATTACTAGTCTAGAGAACAATCTCCCCATCTGCTAAACACTTTAACTCTCATAGAGTTGACATTTGCCAGACTGCCAGCTACGTGACTGCTTAAGAGGCTGTGTAAGTAGGATATGTAAATAGGACATGTGTAAACAGGCCATGTCCATTCTCCAAAGGACTAACTGAAGATTACACACACACTCACTTCTAACCATTCCCTTTTCTCACAAATGGAAAATGTTCAAGAGTTGAAATCACAATTTGGGTTGGACTACTTGGCAATATCCCTTAATACACAGTACCAGTGTGTCTTTGTCCCTCTCACCTTGAAGCCTGTTGGACACCAGTCCACAAACTGGATAGTTCTCTTGGTCTTGATGGCAGCAATAGCTACGTTGACATCTTTGGGGACCACGTCACCGCGGTACAGCATGCAGCAGGCCATGTATTTTCCATGACGTGGATCACACTTCACCATCTGGTTGTTGGGTTCAAAGCAGGAACTGGTGATTTCTGCCACTGACAGCTGCTCGTGGTAGGCTCTCTCGGAGGAGATAATGGGTGCATATGTCATCAGGGGGAAGTGGATGCGAGGGTAGGGCACCAGGTTGGTCTGAAACTCTGTCAGATCCACATTGAGGGCACCATCGAAGCGCAGAGAGGCAGTGATTGATGAGACTATCTGGCTGATGAGACGGTTAAGGTTGGTGTAAGTGGGGCGCTCAATGTCCAAGTTGCGACGGCAGATGTCATAGATGGCCTCGTTGTCCACCATGAAGGCGCAGTCTGAATGCTCCAGGGTGGTGTGGGTGGTCAGGATGGAGTTGTACGGCTCCACTACGGCAGTGGAGACTTGAGGGGCTGGGTAGATGGCAAACTCCAGTTTGGACTTCTTGCCATAATCCAGGGAGAGGCGTTCCATCAACAAGGAGGTGAAGCCAGAGCCAGTGCCCCCACCAAAGCTGTGGAAAATCAGGAATCCCTGTAGCCCAGAACAGGCATCGGTCTGAAAAGCCAAACAGAGAACAAAAGGAATCAGTCTAAATCTCTGAGACTTCCTTGAGCACATCCTGAGATTGATGCCGGGACGTGTGTAACACAGCACGGAGATCACACCAGGTCTTCCTGGGAAAGGACTCGGTAACACCCTCTCACATAATGGTGTAAGCTCCATAGGTATCACTTCTAGTTTGCTGTTACAGTGACAAATGTAAAGTATTTAAGCTGCAGGAACCTACATTTTAGGCTTCTGTCTGAATCTTCCGTCCCTCTGGGAACTGACCTACCATCCAATCTGACCTACAATACAATCAGTCTCTACTACGAACCAATGACACTATTGGGAGCAAAACAAGAGCTTCCAATTGACATATATGTTCTATTCATCTACTTCTGCCACCAACCCCAAATTTTGTTTCTGATGTACTATCACTTACCAGTTTACGGATACGATCTAATGCCAAGTCAATTCTGTCTTTGCCAATGGTATAGTGACCACGGGCATAGTTATTAGCTGCATCCTCCTTTCCAGTGATCAGCTGTTCTGGATGGAAAAGCTTCCGGTAAGTGCCAGTCCGCACTTCATCTGTCCAAGAAAGAGAAACCATAACAAGCCTTGAATGGACATACTCCAATTTTGATGATTTTTGTTGAACACTCCAAACAGTTGTTAATTGGCAGTGCTGTTTGTTGGCAGGCACGTGACATGGGAGAGTTGGGTGTTAGAAATATCCTTGAGTTTGTACAAAAATGAAGGTGTGTCACAGAGATGATGCTCTCTAAGTTCTGAAGGGAGAAGTGAATGTTGCTTTATAAACCAGTCTCTTTCTCTTAGCAGAGTTAGCCAATTTAAGGAATGACTTGTGCTTGGCCAGGGATGAAATCACCTGACCAGAGGGCAAGTCATTAGACAAGAGAAGAGACTTGCAGATAAAAGGGATGGGAAATTCTCAGGAAACACCTTCCACCAGCAGCAGCTTCTCTTGTCTCCAATCTGAACAACGCCCAAATGGCAAAGGAAAATATCACCCCAAACAAGATCAGAGTTAGAGGATCTTATGAAGAGAGGTACACTTAGCCATACTTAGCAATGATAACCTTCTGACTGAGCTGATAGCAAGGTGGGGCGCTTATGGGAAAGTGTAGTCAGTGTTCTCCCCTTCTCCCATCAGTAGACTTAATTTCCTTTGAGAGATGAGTGTTTATAACTGCCGGACATTAAAAGCCTGAAATAGGTTAGTTTTATCCGAGTTATGGGGTCATATTGAAATGCAAAGAAGGGATTGTCCCACCAATATGCTGGAGACAGCTAGACCCCAACCCTGACCTACATAAGAGTAGAATCTTTTCCATTTTCCATTGTTAATTCTATACTGACCTACTACAGTTTGCTCCAAGTCTACCATAATAGCCCGTGGCACATGTTTTCCTGTGCCTGTCTCTCTGAAAAATGTGGCAAAGGAGTCATCATCGTTGACCTTGTTGGACTGATTCTTGAAGGTGCCATCTGGCTGAATGCCATGTTCCAGACAGAAAAGTTCCCAGCATGCATTGCCAATCTGAACTCCAGCCTGGCCAACATGAACAGAGATGCACTCACGCTGTAGGGAGAACAGAGCACAGGTCAGAAGAATTAATACACATCAACCCTTCTTCCTCCTGATAGTCACATATGCTTGTCATAGCTGCATTCAGAAATCACAAACCAACCTCTAACCTTGACTGGTTTGGAGTCTCCAACCTCACATACCCAACTGGAACTGGTGTGCACATGGACCCATGGAACTGGGGCCTAGCCTTTGTTCTTTGCCTGTAGTAGAAGTTCCAACTCTTATTTACAAATAGGATGGTGAATGTATTTTTCTGCAGAGCTACACAAGGACATAAATAGCAAATCACAAAGAAACGTGGAGCTTTTCAGGCATGCACACACATACCTGTGTCCACCAAATACATGCCCTCGTGTATTTGCATACCCATATGCACACAAACATGTAAACACTATGACAGATCCCAAATGAACAGCACGTGCAAGGTCCATTTATTTTTATTCTTGGCTGGGACCTGACACAGTATGCAGCATTTTCTAACTATATATAACTCAAGAGGGGTGAGGTGTCTTCTGTGCTGTTAGCCCTCAACTGGGAGACTGGACTGGAGGATGGGAAAACCTGCTTTCATCAGTGCCCAGCTCAAGCAGTTGTTGACTCAGCCTCATTCCCTTGGCACTTAAGATCCTTAACATGTGAAACTAATCTCCTGAGAGCTCATATTCACACACTTGCAGGTGTGCACCCTGCACATTTCGACATGGCTGTGCAGCAGTCAGTGTCATTGAAGCATATTTTGAGCAAGCACATATATATATTTAATCAATTTCCAAAGTGGTTATTGTCACGTCAGCTAAGCACTGTAATTACATAAAACTAAAACACAAACCAAAAATAATTAAATGCTTAACAAAATAAATGTCTCTTGCCCCGAAGTTTGCTCTATAGACCACCAAAGAGTATGAATTACAAAAACCCCTTTGGGTAAGCATTTGCTGCTGGATGAGCTATAGTGAAACATAAGATATTTTAGCAAGCACTTCCTAGTCAGTCTTAGGGTATGTCTTCACTGCAGCATGAACTTGTGTTATCTACACTTGAATTAATCCTCTGGAGTTAAACTAGCTCAAATGAGAGCAGTCACACTGCCAGACAACACTCAATCTGCTGTGTCCACGCTGATGCTCCACTCACTCGTATGGCACTGAAACTTCTGAGGGCATATCGCATGGTTCCTTACAATGCTGCAAGCTGTGATGCAGTATGATTTCTTTCTCAGTGAATTGTGGTAGCACTTCTCTGTCCTGCTTGGGCACATGGGGGGAATCACAGGAAAAAGTTGGAGGACTAAACTAGCCGCATTCAAGTGGCGCGAGCCTGGGTCCATGCAGCAGAGCAGTCGTGGGTGAGTTGTGCTAACTCAAGCTTTAGCCTATACTCCCTGACAGACTAGCCAACCTGCGCTATAAGTACAACCACACTCGAGTTATAACTCAAGGTAACTTTGCAGTGAGGACAAGCCATTAACTGCCTTTACATTATATAAGCTGAGAAGCACTCTTTGAAGATAAAAGCCCTGAACAGACTGGAACTGGTCTCAGTGCAGCCCTGCTCTGAAATTCAGTCCGGAAAAACGTCATCCTCGGCTCCATGTTGTGGTCTGTTTAAATTTGCTCATCTTACAAGTGAAATGATTGGGATGGGTTTCCTAACTGCCAGCCCTGAAATTCAGCCTGAGATCCGATAATCAAGCTGGTTTTCTTGTGCTGTGACAGCTATACGCCATGCCTTCAAATTAAGCCGTTATATACCCCTGTGCAATTCCACTAAATTCACTGGGGTATCAGCGAAAGCATAATTTGGTCTAAAGAATCTTTTGTTACTTGTAATGCTGCACCGGAAAGATAGAATTCAGCTTGTTTGTTGATTTCCATATTGAGTTTGCAGGGCTGGCAAGTAGGAGAAACATCTTTTTATTTGTAAATTAAGCAAATTTGATATGAAACAACGAACATGACACTCATGCTGCCAGTTTTAGAGTGACTCTTGAAGCAGAGCCACACTTAAGAGCCCAGCATTACTCTCTGGGATCAGAGGAAGGAGCAAACCCACTGTAGAACGATTTTGCTAAGAGCCCGCAGTTCTACCTGAACCAACAGTACCTTATCAGTGGCATCAAAATCTATTTACAGAGAGTTAATAGAATCTGTATGGACATCTTACTCGTGTTCATTACTAGAAGGAGATTGTCTCCCATCAATAGTAATCCAGGTCCAGATCTATAACCTGGTCTGACCCCAGACTGATAGAGATCAAAGAATTCTGAGGTGTATAGAATTGTATCGCTACCTCTTCCTCAATTACCTTCCTCTTCATGTAGCAGGAATAGGAATACAGGGATTGCCATACTGGATCAGACCAATGAACCATCATTTAGCTTCTTGTCTAGCAGTGGCCACTATTAACTACTTCAAAGCAAAGTGCTAGAGACCCTGCAGAAGTCACTTATGGAATAACCTACTCACAAGGAAAGTGTCTTCCTATCCTTCATACTCATGGCTCCAGCATGGAGGGACAATTCACAAAGGACTATACATGGTATGTTCAGTATATATCTAGGGCAGCTCCCATGACCGTGCAAGAGTAATACTGCACCCCCCAGCCCCCATTTATAGATTTCCCCCAAGATAGGCTGGTGATAGGCTTCTGAGGCTTGCACATCAAATAGTGTGGCACATTCTGGGCTCAGGATTTGTTTTTAAATTAAAGATTAAACCAGAGATGATCCTTATTTCTAAGAAATCCATTCCAGCAAGACCTGGAGCCCAGACCTCTGAACTGAAAAGAAGTGAGGCTACCTACTGAGTTAATAGAAACTCTGGTTTTCTCCCATTGGTACAGTAATCTGGTTGTAGTCTATAAGCAACAATTTGATACCCAAAAGATGTGTATGTCTTCCACAGACTCCATTTTTCTTGGAACCTTCCTATCTGAATGCTGACCTGGCTCAGTCATGCTCAGGAATCAGACACGGCTGGATCAACACAACCATGCTCTCCTAAGAATTGTGTATTACAAATGTGCTGAATGATCATCAAGAAGAGTTTCTTTTTCTCATCCCTCTCCACAGCACAGAGATCCTGACCATTATACTTTGGAATGTGTTTCTGGAGTCAAAAACAAAAACATGCTGTGTATTCTCAAAGTTTTAAAGTACCATCTCAGCCTCCTTGATAGTTAAAGATACCAAAACCAAGGGTGGATTTGATTTTATAAAACCTTGTTGACCATGTCTCAGGTTTTCAAGAACCAAACCCAAAGCTAGGAGTGAAGCCATGTTCCATTTTTATTTAAACACAAATAAGATTTTTATTTGTTTTTAGTGAGTGTAAGAATCAGATGAGGTTGGATTTCATTCTGGTTTCTGGCCCATGTCTTCTCCTGCTGTTATAACGAGCACTGTGCTGTAAATAAGTTGAATATGCCAACTCATTCATCAAAAAAGGAAAAACCTCTGCCCAGTTCAGATGAAGACAGGAGCTGTTTTCTGGTAATCAGCCTTCTTTCTATATCTTCTCACACAGTGGGAAGCTTGTTCTGGAGAGTTATTCATTTCATAATAGGACTTGTGCCTCATAAAGGCTGCAGATCTGCCTCCTTTTCCCCTAATCAGATATTGTTCCTTTCCAGTGAATATCTTAACTCTACCTTTTGAATCAGCTCCCTGTGATAAATCCCAAAGGCAGAGCAGATCTGCACGAAACCCTTTTCTTCACTACACTTGCTACAATTTGGAAATGCTCTGACTGACACAGGGAGAAATGCCAAGAGAAGCAAGAGATTTGAAACAGGGGGTTTCAAAGTAAATGGCTTTAAAATAAGTTGCTGTTCCTTTAACAATGAAGAGAGTGGACCTTCCTCAGAGTCCCAGGCATGGTAAACTGATCTCTAGGATATTTAAATCCTGACCCTACTCCAAACTTGTATACTGAATTCCCAGTCTAACAGTTTGGGGTTCACATTTGTTCTTATTAACTGTATCCACACTGCAGTACTAGAAAACCAGACCCTATACAGTTTGCAGACATTTAGAGCACAGTCTGATTTAGGCTTCATCCGTACTGAGGTATAGTCTTATCTTCAAGGTAGCAGCTACCTTGTTGTTTTTCATATGTACTCACTACCATGAGTCCACACATGTTGTTAGATCCATCTAAGTAGATGGTGAAGCTGTGTGTGTGGTGGGGGATGGATCTCCAGAGCAAAGCCCTGTACTAGGAAAGAATTTAAATATAATTGTAGGGACTAAAATGAAAGGGAATTAATTGGGAATGTTTTCTTCCCATCATAGTTCTTTAGGAGGCCTATGGACAGAATATGCTATTGCTAATTGTAAGCATGAGAATTTCCATGGAATAATGGCTAATTCGATTGTGCTTATTGAAGTGGGAGTGAAATGGGGGTGCTTCCATTTATTTCAGTAGGCTTTGAATCAGGTTTTTTGCCCATTTCTCTTTCTGTTTTGGAGGAGTTGCTACCCTTCTCACACCCACACAGGGCCTGATTCTCATTTATACTAAACCCCTTTTACCCCCCTGTGGCAGGGTAAAACGACCTTAAAGTGGAAATGAATTATGTTTACACCCACTTTAAGGCTACTTTATACTTCCAGCACTGTGTAAAGGGATTTTAGTTTAGATGAGAATCAGAAGGATGAATAGGACATAAATGAGGAGTTAAGTTAAAAATAATCAGAAAAAAATAGTTTGTTAATTATGTTCCTGAAATTATGACCTCTTTTACATTTCTCATAGTTTTGTGTCGTTTCTAGATTCCTATCTTATCTCCTATTATGAGAACCATTCAATGTTACTAAAGTAAAGACACAGAATCATAAACAGCAGGCACCAAATAGTTCAGAAGACCAAATTCATCCTCTTTGTAATTCCACTGATGTAATGGTGTTCCACCCAGGATGAATTTGCCTCACTGTTTTTCCCAGCCTGTATTTGACACACTATAAATCCCATGTGCTCTCTGTGATA